TTCAAAATTTCAAATCTTTAAATCTCAGTAAGCTGTAGAAAAAAACAATGGTATAAAATAAAAATAAAAATAGGGCTTTCGCTTATATTCTCATTGAGTTCTTTTCACTTAGAAGTATGTAAATTTGTAAAATTTTGGAAAAACCCTTTTTTTCTTAGTGTGTGATTTCGTTTTTGACTTGGATATGCTCTTAACCATACCACGTATTCTACGTTTAAATATAGCGGCTGTATCTCCGATACAGCATGCAGACCAAGACGAAGGCGCTGGACTGTTCCTTTTTTGGAAAAGCCCACGAATACCATTATATGTGGAATATTTATAATATTGGAGCGATGGTCTGGGTTATGTTTGTTTTAAGGGCATCGGTCGATTACGCCTTATTGAGATAGACCAAAATTTACGCAGCCCAATTGTAAAACCCATTATTTAGCGCTGTTTTCTCAAGTAGGTTTTAAAATGTATCCGCCCTTCAAACACATTTTTTCAGAACAAAATTTGTGTTCAAAGGTAAAATAAATTTGGAAACCTACTTGAGAAAGCGGCCCTTACATAGTCAAATTTAACAACGAGGCCGGTTAATTTTGAACGAATTCGGAAACATATACCTACATATATGTATACCGGACATTTCTTCCGATCGTTTTGACTACTTTTATAATACTTAAGGCCATCGTAAATAGCCGGGTAGAATGGCATCACTGGAAAGTACATAGAAGCTGAACTCAATAGGTAGAACAACCCAATTTAGTTGTAGTTTCGATGAACATGGATAAGCTAATCTTGAATGGAAGACACCCATGTCAGCGCTGCAAGTGATGAATGAACTAACTGAACTCTTTTAGCAAGAAAAGAGCTTCAGTTGGCTCCGGAGAATCGCGCCACTCTGGCATAGATACGATTCGGATATGGTAGGAGGCTAAACTGATATCTACCTAGAAGAGAAGCTGACACATAATATATTTCTAGCTTGTGAAAAAATCGCACGCTACAATAACCTTCTGTTCACACCTGCCTCCTAGAACAAGTGTTTCTTTACTTCACATTTATATCCGGACGGCAGCCAAACACGTCTAAAAATCTGTGAACGTTAAATTCATTTGTACTGTGTGACTTATTCAATATTTTTTAGCTTGAACCAGAGAAAGGAGCTTTGACTCGAAATTTATTCAACCTACCCTAATGAGCTCGAACTTACGGCATTCTTAAAGGCTTTCATCATCATCTCTAACTCTTAACGACTATGTATGTGTGTTTATAGAAAATATCAACAGGTTACTATACATAAATTTTTGTTTTAACAGGACCCTTTCTAAAACAACTTTCGAGCTGTAATCTAATTAGAAAAAAAACTAAAAATTAAATTAAATAAATAAATAAAGCAGCGTGGAACGCATAATATTTACCGCTTAATTTTCCCAAATAAAAAAGACATTCACGCAATTTTTCATCGAACGCCCCGAATATTAACACGACTCATTGGGAAAGTACTTGAGGGTGTAATACAAAGCAAATAAAATAAATCAAATCACTACGCAGGGGCAAGCCAAGCCAAGCCAATCCAAATCAACCCAACAAAGTCAGCAACACTCCAAGCCATGCCTTGACGTGCCACACAACGCTGCACACTTTTTGTGACATACAACATATGTATGTATGTACATGTGTGCATATGAGCCGCTCAGCATGTGAACGCAATACAGCGCGCAATACAGTTTGTGAATTTACTTTTTTCTTTGTACTATTTTCGGTTTTCACGCGGCAAAAAGTTTTGCCAACCAACAAAATTTATGCGCGCACGTCATTCATGCCCCCTCCCCCCCCCGCCCCTCTGGTCTCTTCACTAAGTCGAATAAGCTCAATAAATGCTACGCATGGGTCCTTTGAAGAGGCACTTTGTAGCGTACGCTTGGGTGGCAGCTACGCCCACTGCGTCGCGAGCTGAAGGAACGGCAAATAACTCATTCGAAATGTGAATGAAATGAAATAAAATAAAATCATTTACAAAATAAAACGGCGAAAAGGTGACACTCAGCAAGCGGATGGCTGGTCGATGTAAAGTTGTACCAGTGGAAGGGTGAATGAATGTACTACTTAGCTGCGACACATACGAGTATGCGAATTATGCGTATGTGTGCGTGCGTGGGGCTGACCTTGGCATGTGTGGCCGCAGATTTTCACTTTACGCCACCTTCTTCATTAATTTCTAGATTTATATGCACCCAGCTACTCGTTTGGAGATCCACATTTACATGACATACATACATACATACTCCATAGATATAAAGGCATACACACACTGCCGCCACACATAAACTCAAATGAAAACTAATCGAAAGGGTGTCATTATTTTCTACTTTGCAACAACAACTAACCGACCGCCGCGACTTGAATTAGCTCCGGGGTGCACTCTTACTCACACTCTTACTCTTATGCCACGCTTGAATTCGTGGTCGGTCTATGGCGGAGGACGCTGACTGATGAATTATTGTGACAGGCCGCAGAAAACCTATTAAATTTGAGTCTAGATGGCGCTACTTAAATTTGTCAAAATGTCTTTTTTTACGCGCGCGCTCCGTGAACAGCGCCCAACCGGTTTTGGTGCGGCTGCTCACACGAATGTGGAATTGGATACTCGCACGCACACAAAGCAAAACGTGGTCTGTTGGCAACAACAAAAACAACAACAACGGCGCGCGAAACTTTGATTGATATCGAAATGTCACGCAGACGCGCATGTGGCTAATAGGGCCTGCGGTTCTAGCCATTTGCTATTCGTTTGCCGTTAACCATTTGCTATGCGAATTGATTTTGGCTCAATGAATTAGCCACATTTGTTGGCGCGAAATTGTTGTGTGAAAAATTATATGGGCTCAGCTCGCAGCTGCCTCCTCAAATTAGACATTTATTTTTTTAAATTAGCACATGTGCACACGTTCGTATAAGTTTGTGTGTAATTCTAAATATATTTTTAAATTCATGCGACGCTTTCGGACTTAGACAGGCGGGTGACAAATGTCGCCATTTTATTTGGCTTGTACATCTAATGGGTATTCCTGATTTAGGAATAAAAAATGGCTGCACAATTAATTGGTTTACGGACTATTAAAATCTAAATATTTGAGGTTGAATATTGCAAACTTTCCTTAACCGCACTTCCTTCACAGTTGAGTGCTACAAATTTATTAAAGTATCAAACTTTTTCTGGATATGGAAAGTCTTTTCCTATTAGTGGTATTTCTACCATGAAAAAGTTTCTTATAAAAACACTACTTACTTCCCTTTCGTAAAAAGTGTAAAACTTTGGGCCCCCATTTGTCTTACTACAAAAAAAAGATAAAAAAGCTCCAAATTCATTTAATATTTACTTAAGTAAATATTTTAGTTTTAAAAAATAAAAGCATATCTTGGAATATTGATATCGATAACAGTATCGGCGACTATATATAAAAGAATGTATCGAAATAGAGAAGAAAGAGGAGATTGACTTCCTAGCAGAAACCGGAGTAAGCTCACTACCGGTGACACCAGGCCAGGCGTCTATCCCTCATTTGATTATAATCTAAGATAATTATCTAAGGGCAGAATAATACTTGGTAAAGGCATCGAAGTTCCTATGTATTTTATCATTTTTAAGGCAGTGTCGAAAATTCCTATTTCAAATACTTACACAACACTTCGTAAAGTGCTCAAGTTAGGACGGACATGAAGTGAATGTGATTTGGAACGCATTTCCGACAGACCATGTCAAATTTGGTTTGTAGACAAACAGTCTGAGTGTTGTACAATTTTTTGGACCATTTACATGCGATGACTAAAAAAAAATATTCCACAGACCTGGCGTGATGGCGGGAAACTGATGCGAACTTGATTTCAGTCACCGTAAAAATAGGCTGTATATTGGCTTTTTTGACAGCATCAAAGTACGCCTTGACAAATAAAAACTATAGACCAGTCACTAGCAGAGTAAAACTAACATAACTGACAATTTCTAGTACTGGGCCTCGGTGGCCTAGATTTTAATAAAAGTTATTCTTTTTAGTTAGAGAACTACTCCAAATAGAATACGCTTGACAGATCAGAAATAGGTTCTTTCTTATATTAAATATGCTCTTAGGTATTTTCTAACTATCTGTCGGCCTACTCAAATTGACTTGTTAATGTGGATACATGGGCTAATAACAGTAATCAAAAACGACACGCGGCAGTCGTTGATTCAAACAATCTCTTAATGGTATTCAACGGAAAACAACCACCAACTTCTTCGAACTATGGCCCGGAGAATAACTGCTTAGCTATGCCTGCGTACCTCTGGCGTTATTCCAGTCTTGATGCTCTAGCAGGTTGATCTCCTACTTACGCAGACTTAATCCCGACTTTTCATATTTAAAATGTTGCCTACTCAACTTTTAGTTGGTCACTTTAAAAATTTTAAATTTTTTTTTTATCATTCAACTTTTTGCCATTGCAGTTACAGAATGACATTAAAAGCCAATTCAGTCAGTCCCTTGCACTCTGCCACTCATAACTCCCACACACTAAAGAGCAATCCATAAATGGCATCCAGCTGCTGGCACAATGCGCAAATATAAATAAAGTGTCATGGCGACGAGAACGAAAGAATACATCAAAACAACAAGCACCTGCTGAGCGGCGCGACCGCCCGCCGTTGCCTATGCGCCTGTGCTGGTCTGAGATGTGGCAAGTGTTGCATCAACTCCGCTTCCATAACGCCTAATCCAGTGCAGTGCGCGCTGTGCAGGCGCGGCGCTTAGCGGCAGGTATGCGCGCCAAATATAATGTTGGCTAATAAAGTCATGAATTACGTACATACATATGTATATCGGGCGCGGCTGTGAAACGAAAAGACGCTGCGCTCCAAGTAACGAGGTCTGCCGATTGACCGACTATGAGCGCCACTACCAAGCTGGCCACAACGCACGCGTTTCCCCCCATTAGGATTCATAAATAAGCGAATGTGTTGTGGAGCGACAGCAATAATGGGACATCCAGCCGGTGCGCGCAATAAGCGACCACTTCGAGCGCGCAACGCAATGAGGTATTAGCTTGGATACGACCAGAAAATTGGTCCCGCTGGCACGTCTGAGTTATGTTGACGCTATTTTTGGGCGCATTAACCCATTAACGCTTCGCAACTGCTGCACTGAGGCGCCGTTGTGCAGAGCAGCGTTTTCTTTTTTACTTTACTTCAGCACAGCAATAGTTCTTACAATTGAACCAATAAACCAGTCAAAGTATTTCATTTGCAACATTTCTCTTTAATATTTGCACTTTACTTTATTCGCTTTTCGTATTTTTTTTTTCCTTTCGTTGCAGTTATGGCGCCAGTTATGATTTAGCATCGCGGCGGAAGAATGCAACGCGTGAGTCCACAGCGACGTTAAAGGCCTGGCTTAGCGAGCACAAGAAGAATCCGTACCCAACCAAAGGCGAGAAGATCATGCTGGCCATTATCACCAAAATGACGCTGACGCAGGTGTCCACGTGGTTTGCGAATGCGCGCCGCCGCCTAAAGAAGGAGAACAAAATGACTTGGGAGCCAAAGAACCGAACCGAGGACGAAGATGAAGACGCGCTGGCCTCGGACGACGAGAAGCAACGCCATGTGGAGGATGGCTGCGTGGAGCGAAGGCGACATATCGGCGTGGAATACGCAGGCGGCGCCATAAGCGTTTCAATCGGTAACAATGTACCAGTGGCAACCAATGCAACGGCAGTGGCGGCGGCGACGCCTGGCGCAGGTGTCGTGGATAGTGGCGCGAGTAGTGTGGGCGCAACAAATGCGGCTGCGGCTGCGGCTGCGGCGGCAGCAGCGTCGGCGGCGGCGGCGAACCATCATCCGCATGTCGGCGTGGCAGGCACAGGCGCGAGTGTGGGCGCAGTCGGTGCAGTGCAGTCGGCGAAAGGTAAGCAAAAACAAACGCAGCCAGACAAAGCAGAGCAAAGGAGCACCACGAAAACGCGTTGGCTTAAATCTCGCTTGGCATTGTTTGGCATTGGCGCGTGGGTGGCATAATTGAATGCCTGCGCGAATGTACATCGTGTGAGTGCGTACACGTGCGAGTGTGTCTGTGTCTGTTCTTTGTAAGCTTTAGTACTTCACTTGTTCATCGCAGGCGCATTTCAATGCAGGCAATTGTTCTTTTACTTACGTCTTTTGGCGACTCTATTGTTTTGTTGAAAGTTTTGTGTGTGCGCCAAATGTTGCTTCTGTGGCGGCTGTGGCTACTGATTTTGCTATTATTGTTGTGGTAGCCTCTTGGGTCGGTGGCAACTGCTGGGAATGAACTGGTTTGTGTTTTGATTTTTTTTCTTTTTTTGAATTTAGTGTATATACATATCTGAGGCGCCACTTACCACTGCTATACAATTTTTGACGCGTATTCACTTTAGATTGCTTTGTTTGAAGAAATTAAAATTATTGAGTTATTTATGAAGTCGGATAAGATCTCCTTTTAGAGCTAACAAAAATATGGAATGTATTAAATATTAAAAGTTAGAGGTGTTTTTTAAACTACAACTGAAATCTCAAAAAATTTGTTTAGATCATCCACTATTCAAAGAACAAGCGCTGGCTATTATACATTAATAACTTCCGTTACATTGTACGGCTTTTAGCGCTCATCTTTCCATCTTCATCGGTGCGCTCAACTTAGTAAGATGTTGTCCACGTTTCTGCATCACTACCTCTACAATTACCGGGATTTATTGTCACTAAGCTGGAATTGTTGAGGGAAATTTTACTAAATAAATGTAGTCATTTAAGTAGATTATATTTTCCAGCTGAAAAAAATTTGAGCCCCAAATTGCTGATCAAGTCAATACTCATACGTCCTTTTGGGTGCGGTTCATTACAATGAAGTTTTTCTTCCAATAAACCTTTTTCCGTGGCCCTGTTAGTGAACAAATTCCACTGGCAGTCCTGAGGGAGAGTGGTGTTACGTTCGAAATGTCTGGCTATTTCAGTATATAGAATAAAGTTCTGGGGTTAAAATCGTATCTCAAAGAAAAATTCATTAAGAAACGCCATTAAATAACTCAAGCTCGACTATA